GCTTTTAATTGTTATTCAATTCCTACGACTATTCATAATGTAAGGATTTATCCTGCCGAACTGACTTTAAATAAAGCTAATACTAACAATGAACACTGCCCTTTCCTGGATCTTGATATCTTTATCTTTAACGGGAAACTTAATACCAAAATTTATGATAAAAGATATGATTTTTTATTTCCTATTGTTAATTATCCATTTTTAGATGGGGACGTTCCCTTGTCGCCATCTTATGGTGTTTATATTTCTCAACTTGTTCGATTCTGAGTACTTGTGTATGTAACAACGTATTTGATTTCAACGAAAGAAATCTCTGTATTACTGAAAAATTATTCCACCAGGGTTTTCGATATCACGAACTAGTAAAAACATTTACTAAATTTTATCATCGGTACAAGGACATCATTCGTAAATATTTATCAACATGCAGACATCTTATACGTTAAGGTATTTCCCATCCAATATTTTATGGTAATATTCTTTACAAAGCACAAAAATGTCGGCATTCACCTCAAAAGCTAACCAAACCTTTAAACAGATTTATTCTGAAAGGATATAGTTATGATACTGTTGTCAAGTATTAAGGATTGCATATTTTGGTATTAATATTGATTCACTCATAGGGTCTTTGCATCAGAAATAAACACATTTATTCTAAAACCAGTTGTTGGCATGATACAGGTTATGTTCTTCTCATATATTTAATGATGGTATGATACTAAACCCCTAACAGGAGGGATTGTACTTGATTTTCATATCATGAAGACATAATCTTTCAATCAGTTTAATTGAGGTTTGGAGCTTTGTTCATTTATGTATCATTGTCATTTTGCTTAGTTTCTTTTGTTACCTATTCTGGCATCGGAGTCAGACTTCTTTTAAACTGAGTTTTACTGTGCGTATTGCTATGTGTTTCTTTTTTCTACATTAACTAGAGGTATAGAGGCAGGGTTGAGATCTCACAAAACATGTTTAACCCCACAGCATTTTTGCGCCTGTCCCAAGTCAGCAGCCTCTGGCCTTTGTAAGTCTTGTATGTTTTTTAATTTTAGTTCATTTATATGTTTTGGAGTTTAGTGTGACAGGTTGTTGGCTCTTTGACATATTCCCCATTTCCATTCTCAATTTTACTTTATTTGTCCATTGAAACTAACATATATTTGAGTAGTACTCAATTATAGCTTGGTAAAACCAACGAGTACTCAATTAGTAATTCTTCAACGAATTGATTGATTGATTGATTGATTATCATTTGCTTAACATCCAGTGGCAAATATTTCATGCATGTTCGGGATCAGAACAAATTATCATTAAATACTATAGGTAGGTCCTCTTATAGAGGCCGTCAAGGATGAAGTTCAGGGAAAGTTAGATTGCCACTGGAAAATGAGGGTGTACTGGATAAGTGCAGAAATTTTGCATTGCAACAGGCCACCTGGGGACTCCTCAGAGTTATTGCATTGATTCTAAACATGCAGGGAACATGGCACTCTGTCTACTTAAGGCATCGATCAGATTTAATGTCCCCATTCTGATTGGATGTGGCTGCATACTTCGTACATCCCGCACACCCCTTTGGCAAGGGTTTTGGTCGGAAGAAGACCTAAGTGAAAATATTTCTATTCCCTAATTGTCACCCTTGGGGGTCACTGAGTTGACACAACTAGTAAATACCAATGCTTTATAATAATCAAAAGCCAAATGCAAATCCTTCTATTTCAATTTCTCACATGTGAATGCATCAAATTGAAAAACGTCTTTTCCACTTGAAATAATAGACATTATAGGTTCACAATTCTGCCACTGGAACATGAGGGTATATTGAATAAGGGGCAGAAATTTTGCCTTGCAACAGGCCACCTAATTCAAAATTACGAAAGATATTATTAAATTGATGAAAATATTTCATTATAAAGATCAACAAAATTGCCAAGTCAAATGTTAACAGAACATTATAGAGTTAACTATATACATTTACAAACTTGAACATTTGACATTTTGCCAAATATTAGATAAGTTCTGTTTTTTCCGGACCTTACAGGCATACTACTGTTAGTCTTCAAACAATATATATACCATCTATTTTCATTACTTTTTAATGCTTGAAGTATGCTGATTTTTTTTAATTAGCAAAAAGAATAAAAAAATCAAAAATTTTAATAGCAATTTAAGATTTCCTCAACAAAATCAATGTTTCGTAAAACAGAAATGCTAAAATTACAGCTATACACCTTTCACACAAATTTTAAATCATTTTAATTGATAACCATTCAATTAAAGGGCGTTAATCCGGATCCATAAGTGTTCGGTTCCTCACTCAACTGAGTCTTGATCTTGTTGATCGGCAACAGATAATATCAATTGACATTAGCTGATAAATTAAATATTTACTTAATACCATATACACGTGTTATTAAATTTTAACTGATAAAATGAATAATAGATCAAACATAATCAAAGTTTAGAAGTTTAAAAAACCAGCGTCATGCAGTGTTAAATAACTCATTGACTTTGATGAAGTGATATAGTTGTGTGGTTTAGATTGATTTATAGGATTTATTGTTACAGTTCAGATATATAGCAGGTATAATTGTCTACATAAATGCATTCATAAAATCTGTACCTGGGTGTTCTATAGTCAGGGTACCTGTAACATTTCAGGCAGTTGTAGATGATAACAGGCTATATATCTGACCTGTAGACAATCCGCAATGGTTTGATTGTAATCCAAAATACTAAATCGGAGGAATTTCTCTAACAAACCTACATTCAGGGGCCAACTAAGGATAATAACTGGGTAAGGGGGAATGGAAAGACTCCCATGTGCATGCAAGTAGGAGTCTTTTCTTATATAAAGGTATACACAGACACGCCATTGGTATAGGCTTTTTTAGAATGTCAAAATTTCACTAGGAGCAATTTCACGGAGGTTATATAACAATTGGTAGAACTGTATATGCAAATTGGTCATAAATGGTCATTTTCTGTTAAGATGTCTGTAAAAAAACTGCATGTGTACTGAACTTTTCATCTAATTATAACATGAATGACCCTGTGTGTGGTTTACATCTAAGGATGTCACATACAGATTGTATGACTAGTTGATATAAGCTTGGAAATATATATGAATGGGTTAAGATTTTTCTATAAAACATATGTATGGGTATGAATTTTTGCAAAAATGAATATATGAAAGGGTCTGGTTTTTAAACCCAAGCCTGATGTCTGTACCCATATTTGTATCTTGACCCCAAACCCCCCCCCCCCCCCCCCCCCCCCCCACCCACCCCCGTGTGTGCATACTGCTACTCCCATCCCAAAATATTCCTAGATGATTATCGTCAGTAAAAACTTTTCTTTAATTCTAACAGCCGATTTCAATTTAAATTTAAATCCCAAAATGCGATTCGAATATAATGATTTGATTTCATTTTTAAGAGCTGAAAAATAGTAGATGTATATATATATTATGATATAAGATATAAGTTTTATGTATATGAATGTTAGAATAGGACCTTTTGACAATCTTCGTTATCTTCATATATCAATAGGAATGTAAAAACTGACAGTGTCAATTATGACAGGTGCTTGACAAGGCTAATATTTAATTTATTTTATTGATTTAGTGATTATTAAAGGTTGTAAAAGTTCAGGAGATAAGATAACAGATCAAAGATCATTATAAGGTCTTAAAAATCAACTTCATCAATTGCAAATATCACCATAAAAAAGTAATTATGACACAGCTAGAGATATTAAACTATTAAATTTGATATAGCTATGTATTTTTGTTTTACATTTAATTCAATTATTCAAATCGGATTCATAACAGGGACAGATAAATGGTCCCAGGAAAAGTGAGGCATAATTGTAAAAATATTTAAAAGCATAGTTCGCTGTGTTGAAAACCCATTGGCGGCCTTGGGCTGTTTTCTGCTCTTTGACACATTCCCCATTCTCAATTAATAGGCAAACATTTTTTTTTTTGTGATTTGATTTTAAAAAAAAATTATATTTATGAGTGTTGTATTTGTAAACTTTAAAATGTTAACAGGTTTACCACAAGTCACAATTATTTCCACTTAATACTAAATTGCAGTATTTAGATATAGCAAAATAAGACTTGTTTAAAATACCAGGTATAATAGAAAGAAACAGGTTACAATACATGATCTACATTTTGACATATTGCTTTAAAAAGAAAACAACATCAGTCTGGCTAATGTAGTACATAAGAGCTGACAACACAGTACAATTTAATTTGTGTGTCATCTATATCTCACTGGACCAGTATTAGTCCCCGAGTCTATATATTAAAATAAGTAGATGTGGTATAATTGCCAATGAGACAACTTCCACCTGAATTTACATGACATGAATGTAAGCAATTATAGGCAGCCATACGGCCTTCAACCATGAGAAAAACCCATACCGTAGATAGAAAATCGTGAATAGAGAAAAATAAGGGCCTAATTTATAACAAAACAAATATGACAGACAGGAACAAACGACAACCACTGAACTACATACAGGCTCCTGACTTGAGACAGGCATATAAAGACTGTGGCGGGGTTAAAGATATAAACCCTCCCCCTAACCTGGGACAGTGGTGTAAGTCAGCACAACATATGAACAAACTATAATAATCAGTTGAAAAAGGCTTAACTCATTAGATCGATACAAAGCAGAAAAACATCTAACGAAAACACAGACAAGACGTGGTAGGGTATTTATTTATTCCTCATCCCTAACAACAAAAAAGAAACTAAGTACAGATATATGTAATTCTAAGTAAAGCTTATCTGAAAATCAAATTTTATTATCAAATGAATATTGTCTACATGTATACAATTTTTAAAGAACAAACAATACAAAAATATGATTACACTATGGTACATGTCTTCTACTATTTAATAATTTCCATGTTCAAGTTTGTTACGTTTTTCCATGGTATTCCAAACAGTCACAAAAATTAAAAAAATGAAATGTTTGTGCCTTACCTAAGAAGAAAGCAATGGATTCGGCTGAGCTACTTAACAACATGCTTGGACCAACTCTACCAACTATTCTACCGATCTGTTCTTCTAAACTCTCATCTGGCAGTCTTGTATCTCTCTGTTAAATAAAGACTGTATGTTAAAAAAACAGAATGATAATTTTTAATTAATTATAAATGTTGTTTCAGGATTATTATAGTATTGAGCATGAATTTTGACTACATTGAAAATTTTAGTTTTCATTTAAGTTTTGTGAATATCAAAAACTGTAAATTCAGAAATTATTGCATGCATTTATTATTGCAATTTTTTAAGAAGCCTGACAAAAAGGCGAGGTTTAATTTTTGCAATTTTATGAAAATCAGCATCCAGATGTATGTATCAGATATCAGAATGCGAGTTCTTATTATTGCAATACTCACCCAATCACATTATTTGCATTAATAAAAACCACCAACTAATTTCTGAATTTAAAGTATTATGGATTTTTTTTGATGAATTATTTGATTTACATATGGTTAAAAGTGTAGTAAAAATTCAAAGGTTAGATTATAATTTGTTTACCAATGCTATTGAAAGTTTATTATCATCTCTTTAAAGTTTTACAGAAGCGATCATGATTTTGAGGGCTTCTGTGGCCAAGGAGTTTAAGTTGTTCAGCTACATTGATCACTAGCACGTCAACACTGAGATAGAACCCTGATCATGGAATGTGCATTTGACTCCAATGGTAAATGACTTAAGGATTATCAGTTTTCCTGTAGAAGGTCGGTGGTTCGAATCTCTGGGTACTCTGTTTTCATCCACCCATGATTTGGTTATTAAAACCTTGTGGAATATCTGTGTGCCACAAATTAAATGACCATGGATATATTCCATTTTTCATAGCTACAATCCTCAGTCCTGCCCTACCCTGTCAACGCTCACCAGCATCAGCCTGTGGTAGCATCCTTACCTCATTTCTTATGTTCATAATATCTCCAAACTGCACAGGCAAAAGGATAAGGTTAAATTTAGGCCAAATAGGCCTTAAATTTCAATTTTATCATAAAATTTCAAAATGGCCATAAATTGGTTCTTAAATGGGTCTATTTCAAAAGCCTTACTACAAGGTCAAACAAATCTCTTCATTAGAGTACATTCTAGACTTCAAAGTCAGCACATTTTGGATATATTGTCAAAAAACGATGATTTTGTGCATTTTTCAAACCTAAAAGCTGCAGTAAACCCTTGGCCCTAACCTAGGATCCAAAATGTTCTGTAGTAAAAAGTTGCCAATAATGATATTGAATCCCTACACATAAAAAATTTCTGGAACAGGGGTGGCAGTCAAAGTAAATTATGGTAAAAACTGTTGAGAATTATTGAAAATTTGACCAAAACTGACGTTACAACACACATAATGCATACTTGAGGGGTCATTTCTTCGTCAGTTTTAATGTGATGTGCAAAAAGAAGTTATTTTGTATTAATAGTTATATCACAACTATTTCTATGTGAAATTTGTAGTATTTTGGTCAGATTAAAAAAAACATCAAATTTTATGGCCAATTTTAACCCTTCATGAACTTACTCCTTTACTCACTTGAATTTCAGATGAACTTCACCTTGAAAAATTCATGTATAATCCGCTGAAACGAGCTTTATACGTGAAACTCACATGAACTTTCCATAAAAAAATTTGGTATTTTTCATGATTTTAATTAAATTTGAAAATTAAGATGTTGAATAACTTTATTTTGAAAATTCATGTGATTTTCACTTAAAATTCATGTGATATTCACCTGTTCATCAGTTCACCTGAGTTTCGCATATAAGCTCATATGAGGAGATTCACATGAATCTCAATACTTCAAATTTACTTGAGTAAAATTTCCCTGTGTGTATCAACTTATTAAGGTAGCTTAAAACATAATAATTTAAGAGGTATAAGCTTTACAAAACTGTACCTGATAAGTTTGAACTAAAATAAAGATGTTGTCCACACCGACAGCCAGGACTAAGAATGGTACAACTTCTATGATGATAAGTGTTGCTGGTATTCCAAAGTAACTATAGGTCCCAAGGGAGGCAGCTACTGATAATAGTACAATTGTAACTCCTGCTAAACCTAATGTTATCTTGGAATCAATCTGAAAATAGTAATTTTAGCCATGAAGAAAATTGGCATTATGAAAATCTATAGAACTAATAACAAACATTATACATTTTTTATTATTGGTGAAAAGTAACATCTGCAGTTTAAATTGATACATCGTGTAAAAACAAGGAATTATTTGAATCTGGAATAATTTTGAATTCTGGAAAATTGATAAGAAATTTATAAGGAAAACTGACCCAATTTATGCATGCATGGATAAAGTGGGGGGGTAGTTTTTCACACTGAAATGTCAGTGAAAGTAAAATGAACTTTAACCATGCATGCATGGTTAACCCTTTTTAGTTGGGTTATTTTTCATCATACATTTCTTATCAATTTTCCAGAATTCAAAATTATTCCAGATTCAAATAATTCCTTGTTTAAATATGTATCATTTTTTATATTCTTGAAAGAAGTTTTTAAAATAAAGTATATGACATATTTAACAAGAAATGATTGTAACAGGATGCTGTTACGAAGTCTCCCAAACGAAGCTCCCATAATTCGTAATTCCCAGGGTCACCTGACATTGGGCAACGTCCAGTGAAAAATGGTTTGGTCCAGTAAAGTTATATGCATTAGTGATGCCTGGGGACTAACCTTGTATATCATTCAAATCCATCTTGGCATGACAAACCAGAATATATATGGTTTAGGGGTGGGGATCTCGACCATTTACAAGATACTTGAACATTGGGGGTAGGGAGGAACCCCTGGGGACTGGCCCTATACGTCATTCAAATGTTCATTACATGACGAACAGGAATATATATGGTTTAGGGGTGAGGATCTCAACCATTTACAAGATATTAGAACATTGGGGGTGGAGGGAACCCCTGGGGACTGACCGTAAACGTCATTCAAATGTTCGAGACATGACAAATAGAATATATGGTTTAGGGGTGGGGATCTCAACCATTTACAAGATATTAGAACTTTCTCAAATGGCAGGGGGTCGGGATGACCCCTGGGGACTAACCCTGTATATCATTCAAACCATCTTAGCATGACAAACCAGAATATATATGGTTTAGGGGTGGGGATCTTGACCACTTAGAAGATATTAGAACTTTCTTAAATGGCAAGGGGTGGGGGTGCCCCTGGGGACTAACCCTGTATTTCATTTGATGTGCTTTATCATGACAAACCAGAATATATATGGTTTAGGGGTGGGGATCTCGACCATTTACAAGATATTAGAACTTTCTCAAATGGCAGGGGGTCGGGATGACCCCTGGGGACTTGCCTTGTTTATCATTCAAACCATCTTAGCATGACAAACCAGAATATATATGGTTTAGGGGTGGGGATCTTGACCACTTACAAGATATTAGAACTTTCTCAAATGGCATGGGGTCGGGATGACCCCTGGGGACTAACCCTGTATATCATTCAAACCATCTTAGCATGACAAACCAGAATATATATGGTTTAGGGGTAGGGATCTTGACCACTTAGAAGATATTAGAACTTTCTTAAATGGCAGGGGGTGGGGGTGACCCCTGGGGACTAACCCTGTATTACATTTGATGTGCTTTATCATGACAAACCAGAATATATATGGTTTAGGGGTGGGGATCTTGACCATTTACAAGATATTAGAACTTTCTCAAATGGCAGGGGGTCAGGATGACCCCTGGGGACTAACCCTGTATATCATTCAAACCATCTTAGCATGACAAACCAGAATATATATGGTTTAGGGGTGGGGATCTTGACCACTTAGAAGATATTAGAACTTTCTTAAATGGCAGGGGGTGGGGGTGACCCCTGGGGACTAACCCTGTATTTCATTTGATGTGCTTTATCATGACAAACCAGAATATATATGGTTTAGGGGTGGGGATCTTGAAAATTTACAAGATATTAGAACTTTCTCAAATGGCAGGGGGTCGGGATGACCCCTGGGGACTAACCCTGTATATTATTCAAACCATCTTAGCATAACAAACCAAAATATATATGGTTTAGGGGTGGGGATCTTGACCACTTACAAGGTATTAGAACTTTCTTAAATGGCAGGGGTGGGGGTGACCCCTGGGGACTAACCCTGTATTTCATTTAATAGGCTTTATCATTTAGAACATTTTCAATTAAAAAGATTGTGTCTATCACAAACGGTTTTCAATTTATAATCATTTGAAAATTTAAAAAAATAAAATCCCATAGGGTTTTATAGTAAAACCCTCTTTTCTTTTTGCCCCTCAAAGTACCCCTTTATAAACCCCATTGCACAAACAAAACCCTGATTGCACCACTAGACATGTTAGTCTAACATATTGTGAAACCCTAAGTTAATCTGACAAGCGGTTTTGGAGAACGGGTGCGGACAAGTTCAAATTTAAAAGCGGCGGAAGAGGAAGAAGAAGAAGAAGAAGAAGAAGAAGAAGAAGAAGAAGAAGAAGAAGAAGAAGAAGAAGAAGAAGAAGAAGAATAATAAGAACTGAAGAAGAAGAAGAAGAAGAAGAAGAAGAAGAAGAAGAATAAGAACTGAGCAAAAACAATAAGTCTTCCCAAACTTCGTTTGGGAGACTTAATTAAAGACCTATATGATAGATATTTCACCATAGCTATTATTTAATTCATGCAAATTAAATTTCACCAGCTTGATTAATAATTAATTTTTTGTTTTCATAAAAAAATTTTAAACTTTCAACAAAGTATACCAAATACATGTACATTGAGTTATACTTTTTTGTTAAGGACTTGAAGTGGTCTGCATAGGTTTGGTATAAGTCGTTAATCAACAGAATAAAATATTACCATTAGTCGTGCAGGATTGTCACATGACAGAATAAAATATTACCAATAGTCTTGGAGGGTTGTCACATGAAAGAATAAAATATTACCAATAGTCTTGTCACATGACAGAATAAAATATTACCAATAGTCTTGGAGGGTTGTCACATGACAGAATAAAATATTACCAATAGTCTTGGAGCGTTGTCACATGACAGAATAAAATATTACCAATAGTCTTGGAGGGTTGTCACATGACAGAATAAAATATTACCAATAGTCTTGGAGGGTTGTCACATGACAGAATAAAAAATTACCAATAGTCTTGCAGGATTGTCACATGACCCATATTGCCCGAGGGTGAGGGTTATATATCCAAACATAATCAGGTAGCTGATAAGAATTGTTAAGACATCAGACTGACTTTCCCTGTTCAACTCATCCTCTATAGATCTCTGAAAAGACAAAATTCTTCATAAAGCAAACACTGTCAAGACATTTTTTCATTTCTTCTTTCATATGATCAACTGCAAAGTATTTCTTATAAACAATTAATTAATTCTATGTTACTTTTTTCTTCATTTCTTTTAACAATCACTTAGATTCTTATTAGTCTCATTTAACTAAGAAATGAAAAAAATATAAAACATAATAAGTTGCCGTGTTATTGAGCATGATGTGCAAATGAAAATTAGAATTCATTGTTAAGGGGCAATAACTCAAATAAATTTTTAATTATTTAATTTCAATTTTCAGTGTTTGAAATGAAAAACCATGTAGTATTGTAGATGTTTTGTTTGGATTAGCTTCTGGATTTCGGAGGTTCCTTTCTACCAACCCACATCCATTCTAATGGAATAGCCCAAAAATACAATCCATAAACATCAATGAGACAACAATGAATATGGATGGTATTTTTGGGCTATTCCATTAGAAAGGATGTGGGTTGGTAGGAAGGAACCTCCAAATTCCCTCTACTATTGACATACTTTCTATAGTAATTTTGTTTATTTTAAAAATGCCATAAAGACCAACAACTCCGATTAAGAAATGAAACTTCACTATTAACTCTCCTCCATACATCTTAATGGAAAAGTCCTTACCTCTGTACTGAATGAAATAGTCATATTGGGATGATCCTGTTTACTTTGTAGGTATGCTATCAACACCTTTTCCCAAGCTTTAGCTTTTTCGTTGTCTTCATCTTTTAAGTGGTTATTTACCAGAAAAGTTATGACAAAAGCTGTAGAATTCTTATAATTTGTACCTGAAAATAGAACATTTACTATTTTTAATTGAAGAAAAGGAAATAATTGACGTGTTGTTTCCTTATTTTATACCACATTAAAGTAATGTAAGAAAAGTTTCATGCTGCGGTGAAACACCCACCCCCTCCCAAAGCCATAGTTTGCTTAGTAATGGAAAGAACTATTTGTATTGATCTTTTTTCATACTTCTTGGGGAATGGAAAAAAGTAAAGTAACAAAAAAATTTTGCTGAATACTGCCACAGGTAACACATTTATATTTTATGACCTCATCAATAGCCAAGAGCTAAACTTGTCAACTTCTGGATGTAGAATCAAAACAGAAAATTCCATAAAGGCATCATTTAGGTAGGTGGTAAAAGTGGTAGGTGGTAAAGGTGGTAGGTGGTAAAGGTGGTAGGTGGTAAAGGTGGTAGGTGGTAAAGGTGGTAGGTGGTAAAAGTGGTAGGTGGTAAAGGTGGTAGGTGGTAAAGGTGGTAGGTGGTAAAAGTGGTAGGTGGTAAAGGTGGTAGGTGGTAAAGGTGGTAGGTGGTAAAAGTGGTAGGTGGTAAAGGTGGTAGGTGGTAAAGGGTTATTTTCCTGTGTTTTACATGTTTTCTTGATTGAAGCTCATTATTTACTGTGTTTCCTGCAAAATGGTAAAAAAAGCAATGTGTAAGCTATTTTTTTAAATTTTTTATTTATTGTGAAATGAAATTTTATTTCCTGTTCATCTGTGCACAGACCCCCCCCCCCCCCCCCTTTGGCTCCCTCTATGTTTAAGACCCTCATCTGGTTATGCATACTAGGAATTTTACCATGTGATTTGAGTAAAAAACAAGAATGTGTCCATAGTACATGGATGCCCCACTCGCACTATCATTTTCTATGTTAAGTTGACTGTGAATCTGGGGTCAAAACTCTAATTTGGCATTAAAATTAGAAAGATCATATCATAGGGAACATGTGTACTAAGTTTCAAGTTGATTGGATTTCAACTTCATCAAAAACTACCTTGACCAAAAACTTTAACCTGAAGCGACCAAAAACTTTAACCTGAAGCTGGACAGACTGACGAACAGACAGATGGATGCACAGACTGAAAAACATAATGCCCCTAGGTGGGGCATAAAAACAAGTTGAAAAACATACCATCATATCCTTCCATCACTACCCAGGGGAAATTGGGTGCGGAGTCTATTGCCACACTTACCATCATATCCTCCCATCACTACCCAGGGGAAAATGGGTGCAGAGTCTACTGCCATACTTACCATCATATCCTCCCATCACTACCCAGGGGAAAATGGGTGCAGAGTCTACTGCCAGACAAGATATATTCAATCCTTTGGTGTCTTGTGTTGAAGCAGGAGCACTGTAAAACATAAAAACACTTTGTCAATTTTTTTATAACTCTTTTCCTCATTTAAAATGTATTGAAATAAAACACATTTTCAATTTGCTCTAATTTTCTGCAGCCGGTTGTACGAACGTGGCATTAGCCTAATGGGTCATTAAGTCATCATTAAGCCTTTATGATGCATTAGGGTAATGAAGACTTAATGACTCATTAGACTAATGACACGTTCGTACAACCGGCTGCTGGAGTTTAATTGTTTAAAAAAATGTTTGTGAAATTTCCCCAATTAACAAAAGAAAGCATTTAAAAAAATTTAAAAGAAAAAGTAAAAGTTGAAAAAGGTTAGTAGATATTAAAAAATAAAACTCAATATTATGGTGTTGCCAAATCTTTAAAAAAATTTGACGTAAAAGTGTATGGGACAGACTGAAGTACCGACAGAAGCCCTCTTTCAGAGCAGGTATATAAAAATATATACAATATTGAAAGTGAGAAAGATTTTCATGTTGATGGTGACTGCCAATTACCTCACACAGTATTCAAAATGGTCTATAAAATCTGCCATTACAGTATATCCCCATTCATCCATTATAACTTTGTCAAGGGTGGTATGGTTTTTCTGCCAGTATTCTAACACACTCTGTGTTGAACATTTATTATTGTCGGGAGCCAGTGGTTTAAAACAGATGTCTTCTAATTTTACCGTCTTATTGTTATATGTTGCTGTCAAAGCCTCAATCTCAAGCTGCATATCTAGAAGCTAAAGAGAATTTATTTGTTATTATTTCAAAAGTTATCTCCCATTTTTTGCATCTGAAAGATTCTTGTATGTATTTCTAGAAGCTTAAATGAAAACTTATTTGTTATTATTCCAAAAGTTAAAATTGTCTCTCATTTCTGGCATCTAAAAGATGCTTTTATTACAATATCTAGAAGCTTGAATGAAAAATCAATTTGTTATTATTCAAGAGTTATTTCCCTTTTCTGCAAGATTCAAGTAAAGCTAGAACTCTCAATTTTTAAAAAAAAAATTTTGGAGGGAGGATTGAAATTCATTCTATCAAGTTTGTTTTATTTTCTGTTCAAATAACTAAACCAACAACTATTCAAAGGTTTTGATTACTAAAAAGGTCAAAGATGCTGGATGCAAAGCAAATTGACTGATGTAAATTTTTTTTCTTAAACAGAAACAAGGCATTGGATCAAAATAAAGTGAAAAGCTTTATATATGCCTTTATTTATTTTATTATTTATGAAAATCATAAATGTTTACCTTACTTTTGAATATGGCCCAGATATCTAAACACTAAAAGAATTAAAAGTCTTTGAATTTTGATACCGTAAATTGAGAATTCTTTGCATACATTAATTTTTGTGATTGTTGAATAATTAACATTAATGTGAGATTAACTATTTAAGAAAATACTAACAGAAATAATTTGCTATCAAAATTTAAAACTCCAAGTTTTTATTTTAGCGAAAACCTGTCAGTGAATCCTGTTGCAATTTTTCACAATAATAAAACAATGCAAAAAATTCTGAATGTAATGACTACATTACCATATGCAAGAAATCTTTATCGAATAGATTACTGTAGTTGACGTAAGCTGATGATGGAGCTGGCGGAGGTAAAGGATGTTTGTATTTTGTATCATTGTTTGGCCTGGTTATGATTAACTGTTCTGTTCTGTAAAATGGTCTGAAATACAAATTATACATTTTTTAAAATTTTCTCCCCGTTTTACCTCCAACACCTGTCATACATGTTCAACCTTTTTCAGTAGCTATCAAATTCTTTGTTTCAAGAAAATATTCTTATAAATTGTCTACAATATATGAATTCAAAATTGTACAGTGACCTATAGTTGCTCAATACTTCTACACCATGTAGTCTCTGGTGGAGAGTTGTCAGTTTTTTTTCTATTTATGAGTTTGAATGTCCCTCTGGTATCTTTCGCCCCTCTTTTGTCTCATTGGCAATCATATCACATCTTCTTATTTTAATGTTGTGGCTTTATATATATTATTGTCTACCCATACACTAATTCACCAATATTTTCCCGTATGCAGTGACCAAACTATGAAACCTTTCATTAGAATTTTGGCCAACGCACAGGGCAAGTGTTAGGGGAAAACCGGATGAAAGAATGTAAACAAACGTGCACTGGAAGGTAATTAGTAATAACTGATTCTTAAAGAACAAATTTAATACAACAAATCATTTAACATTAACTGTTGAGGAAAAGTTGAATTAACAAATGGGAATGCATGGAAAATATATAAAAAAATATCATGGCTCTATCAATTCACTTTTTTGTCATGTGTTCCACATGCTATGTGTTGATTGCTTATCAATGTCATAATCCAGTAAACTTGGCAACAAACTGGAAAGTTAATTAGCTTGCGAGCAACAACCACTGAATAAAATTTTAATTGTCTATAAAACATTTGTAATAAATACTTAAAAAAAACCTTCATACAGGGCTTAATTCAGAATATATGAATGCATTGGTTCAATAATTTCGAGAACATTAAAAATACAAGAAACTCATTTCATATGACTTTTAAAAAAAAATGGATTCATAGCTATTCATGATATGGTCCAATTTTCATGGCTTTCATGAGTATAGATGAACCCCAAATTTAAATGTTCAATCAAGCACAAATTTTATATAAGCTTGTATAACTTGTATGCAGAATTTGGCAAAACCAAGTAACCAAATATCCATGAAAATACAATTTTCCCTCAATCCATGAAATTGGAATCCACAGGAAACTAAATGAATCCACAGTATACCTACAGGATGTTTATTGAAATGAGAGAAAACTTACCCAAAATGTGAATCAAAAGAAAACTTACCCAAAATGTGAATCAAAAGAACACTTACCCAAAATGTGAATCAAAGTAATCTTTCTCTTGCCTAGCTCTACTATTCTTTGAAGACCAAAGCTCTACTGGGTTGGTCGTAACCTTGAACAAAGCAATACCAGCAGACAGGCCTCCAGCAATGATAACACCAAGTACTATCACTAGAACTGGATGCCTAGCACAACAGGTGCCCCATCTGGTAAATGTCCTCTGTAAAAATCGCTCCATTGCTGCGCCAAGCTTTTCCATAAAACTTATATCTGACAGTTGAACAATTGCCTCAGAATTATGTTTTGTTGGCTGTTGATGATTTTTTTCATTCATGTTTGTTGTGCCATTACCATGAATACCATTTTGATAAACTGTTGTAAAGGAATTTCTTCCCTGGTCTGGTTCACAAAGATAGTAACAAACAATGTATGACATGAAAAAAACTATTAGAAATACTATGTATAATAATCCCATTACGAAATACCAAGTATCCAAACCCATAATAGTCAGTTCATTTTCTGTCGGTGGCGGGGATGGAATAGGTGCACACGATGCTGCACAATCCTGACAGCTACATGCTGATTTGTTGAAAGCTCCCTCACTACATTTTGATGACCTGGCATCCATTGGGTGTAAGGTTACGTTCGTTCCTGGAGGGGGTGTGGCACTGTTTCCAATAACAAACGTGATTCTGAAAGGCGTCTGTCCATTTGATGTATCACCCATGAAATCCAGCCATTTCTGAGGTGTGCACTCTGCGGCTGTGTTTCCACATAGAATGTTCAATGCTTTCTGATTGGCACTTGGCATCTGCACATCTTTACAAGAATTAAACATACCGATGGCAAAATTTTCCGAGATATAATAATGGGTGGCGACTGCTGCCTCTTTTTTACCAGTTGGAATATCAGGCTGTACGTTATCAATGGTGACATAATTATTTTGGTTTGGACTGCATGTTGTATAACAGTAGAGATTAAGAAAATTTCGGAAACAAGATGGACATCTTAGTAACATCTGCTGAGGTACACCTAAATTAGCCTGCAGTGTACGGAGTTGGGTTGTATCACAGCATGTTAAAGTATTGTTACCTGAGAAAACAAATTAAAACATAAGTAAATGCTTTATATCTCCTTTCATAAATACAAATAAGATACAGTACACTTCATATTCAAATATAAAAATAAGAAGATGTGGTACGATTGTGATTGTGATGAGACAAGTCTACACAAGAGACCAAATGACACAGAAATTAACAACAAAGCCCCTTTTGGTCACTTTTTGTTAATGAAAATACAAAAATAGTCTTTTTAATGAAAATACAAAAATAGTTTTTTAATGAAAATACAAAGATAGTTTTTTTAATGAAAATACAAAAATAGTTCTTTTAATGAAAATACAAAAACAGTTTTTTAATGAAAATACAAAAATAGTTTTTTTAATGAAAATACAAAAATAGTTTTTTAATGAAAATACAAAAATAGTTTTTTAATAAAAATACAAAAACAGTTTTTTAATGAAAATACAAAAATAGTTTTTTTAATGAAAATACAAAAACAGTTTTTTAATGAAAAAACAAAAATAGTTTTTTTAATGAAAATACAAAAATAGTTTTTTAATGAAAATACAAAAATAGTCTTTTTAATGAAAATACAAAAATAGTTTTTTAATGAAAATACAAAGATAGTTTTTTTAATGAAAATACAAAAACAGTTTTTAATGAAAATACAAAAATAGTTTTTTTAATGAAAATACAAAAATAGTTTTTTTAATGAAAATACAAAAATAGTTTTTTAATGAAAATACAAAAATAGTTTTTTAATGAAAATACAAAAATAGTTTTTTTAATGAAAATACAAAAACAGTTTTTTAATGAAAATACAAAAATTGTTTTTTTAATGAAAATACAAAAATAGTTTTTTAATGAAAATACAAAAATAGTTTTTTAATAAAAATACAAAAACAGTTTTTTAATGAAAATCTGTTATGGAATTCCACAGACATTTAGCTACATGTTTCTCAAAAAATTATATCAAACATTTGAACCATGACCCTGAATTGAGTTTTGTTAGGTGTTGTTCTTTTTCTGATTTAGAAAAACGCAAAATAACAAAAATACCGAACTCCAAGGAAAATTCAAAACAGAAAGTCCTTTATCAAATGGCAAAATCAAAAGCTCAAACATATCAAACCAATGGAAAACAACTGTCATATTCCTGACTTGGTACAGACATTTCCTAATGTAGAAAATTTTATGTTTATTGTGCCATTACTATGGGTACTATTTTGATAAACTGTAAAGGAATCAATTTGGTCTCAATAATATCAATTTTTTTTAGGAACATTAATGATCGTTTGTTATAAAAAGGGGGAGGCATACATGTGTTACTTGTCTCAAAGTGATCAAAAACTGCACTCAAAGGTTTTCATCCAAATGTAATCACACTGGACAAAATACAAACAATAATTGTTAAGCTGCATCCCTATTTTATTATATTTTGCTTAAAGGTAGGGAGCATTATGGTTGAAATTTGTGATCAAAAGTGCAAATTTCATTTTTTTTTTAAACATATCTGTGTTTACAAAAGGACATCAAAATCAAAAGCTAAAAACAAAATTAAATGTTCTGTACGCATATCCTTAATAGATGTCTCAGAAAAACCTGTTGGTCAACTTCCAAAGGTGACCTGTTGATTTGAATTTTTATTTAATAGAAAAAAGTGCTGTGTTTCTATTGGCACTTGGTAGTATTTATTTACTTCAGAACATAACATGATGCACTTAAATAAGGTATCAGAAAACACAAAGGCAAGTTTATATATCTCAATTACTATTAGAAAAAAATACAAAAATACTTTGATTTTATCCAAAAATAGTAAAACTTGTTGCTCTGTTACCTTAGGCCAGAGTTTTTCAATTTGTTGATTTACGGATCTGCCAACCGAATTTTTCCGATTGTCAGAAGAAGAAAAAATTGACATTTAAGCTTTTTTATTCAAAAATATTGTAAGAAAGATGAAAGATATATTTTTTCATATACATATTTATGTCTTGTAAGTTTTTTTTTATTATTTTTTTTTTCACGACCGACTGACCCGTCTTTTTCACATAAAAATTTGTAAACCAACAAATTAAAAAACCCTGGCCTTATGCAATTAAAATGAATTTTAGATGGAAGAAACTGACATAGTTTGTGTTTTGAATTCTTTGCAAAAAATTAAATGTGCAATAATTTGTAATACACTCATGTCACTGTATTCACAATTCGTTGGTATTTATAAATGTCACATCAGTTCTTGCCCTTATCATATAAAGCATACTAAGTTTAAGGTCACCTGACCGACTTAAGGTCCTAATATCTCAATGTTATGTTGTTATGTAAACATTAGATATCTTTATCTTACAAATGAACAACTTACAAGTTTGTCATAAAACTAGTCATTTAGTTTCTTGTCTGGTTACGTAATTTTATTTGAATTTCCTTACTTAAAATCTCTCAATAAATTTTTTGAGTCTTTGAATAACTTAACACCCTTCCTTTCAAGTGCCAATCTGCCTAAGAATCAGGCAGTGGTGAAAAGATGACAAACAAAAACCCACTCAAGTTGACATTAACTTATGTTCAAATTGCATAATGGTGCACTAATATAACATTCTTTTCCTTTTCCTGTTCTCGTAATTCAAGATATAATTTGGTTGAAATGCACTAGAAAATAAAAATTAAGGGGAGCTAACTCATTAATTTGCTATCATTCTAACCAAAAGTTATCTAGAGATTTCTCGAAATTACCAGACACGCAGAAACAAAAGACCTACCATTTCTAACTCAGGATGAGGGTAACTTCAAAATAGGATGGTTAGGTCGGTGGGTTTTTTTTCGGCCATGTTTTGATTTTTTTCTAAATTTGTGACGAGTGAACCAACACCTTCTAACGGAAAAGCTGGTAGAGTAACCAAGATGGATACCGAAGTATGCTGCGGTTGTCTTAAAACCTCATGGAAATATAATATGTAGAGACAACAACATCTGGGTTACCGCAAGGTGATAGTTTTATTGAGTCTACATGTTTCGCCACTTACGGTGGCGTCTTCAGGACAATTTAAACATAGAAAACAAATACTGAAGTACATGAAATGCGGTGCATATGGGGTTACAAAGGTTAACAAGACGTAACGTCACAATAATTGATTTGACAACTTTAAAATGAAAGTGAAAGTAAAAGTTAATAATGCATTGTCAGTGTCTTTTCCAAAATGGACAACACCTCACAGGACATTCCGTACCATTCCAAAAGGCTTCACTCGGAAAGAGGTACTACTTCCAATTGCGTCGGGAATGTTGTAAGATGTATGGTAGTCGCACATGTAGGGCATGGTGGAAGTTGTGGTGAATTGGTTACATTTTGCGGTTGTGGTACACTATCCATGTTGCAAGTTTATTTCAACAATAATGGTGCGGTTCTGCGGTTCAGTACGTTTTGCGGTGGTCTTCTTTTTCGCGGGTTTTCCTTTTCTTCGAGGTATGGGCGGTTTCTTCAGTGAGGTTGGTGGTAGAATGGAACTGGTCGGTAGACATGAGGCAAACGGTTGTAACTACAACGCAGGACGGCTAAGGTGGATCGTGTGCGGATGCAGGGGTTCACAGAAAAATAAATAATTTGTGACGAGTGAACCAACACCTTCTAACGGAAAAGCTGGTAGAGTAACCAAGATGGATACCGAAGTATGCTGCGGTTGTCTTAAAACCTCATGGAAATATAATATGTAGAGACAACAACATCTGGGTTACCGCAAGGTGATAGTTTTATTGAGTCTACATGTTTCGCCACTTACGGTGGCGTCTTCAGGACAATTTAAACATAGAAAACAAATACTGAAGTACATGAAATGCGGTGCATATGGGGTTACAAAGGTTAACAAGACGTAACGTCACAATAATTGATTTGACAACTTTAAAATGAAAGTGAAAGTAAAAGTTAATAATGCATTGTCAGTGTCTTTTCCAAAATGGACAACACCTCACAGGACATTCCGTACCATTCCAAAAGGCTTCACTCGGAAAGAGGTACTACTTCCAATTGCGTCGGGAATGTTGTAAGATGTATGGTAGTCGCACATGTAGGGCATGGTGGAAGTTGTGGTGAATTGGTTACATTTTGCGGTTGTGGTACACTATCCATGTTGCAAGTTTATTTCAACAATAATGGTGCGGTTCTGCGGTTCAGTACGTTTTGCGGTGGTCTTCTTTTTCGCGGGTTTTCCTTTTCTTCGAGGTATGGGCGGTTTCTTCAGTGAGGTTGGTGGTAGAATGGAACTGGTCGGTAGACATGAGGCAAACGGTTGTAACTACAACGCAGGACGGCTAAGGTGGATCGTGTGCGGATGCAGGGGTTCACAGAAAAATAAATAATTTGTGACGAGTGAACCAACACCTTCTAACGGAAAAGCTGGTAGAGTAACCAAGATGGATACCGAAGTATGCTGCGGTTGTCTTAAAACCTCATGGAAATATAATATGTAGAGACAACAACATCTGGGTTACCGCAAGGTGATAGTTTTATTGAGTCTACATGTTTCGCCACTTACGGTGGCGTCTTCAGGACAATTTAAACATAGAAAACAAATACTGAAGTACATGAAATGTGGTGCATATGGGGTTACAAAGGTTAACAAGACGTAACGTCACAATAATTGATTTGACAACTTTAAAATGAAAGTGAAAGTAAAAGTTAATAATGCATTGTCAGTGTCTTTTCCAAAATGGACAACACCTCACAGGACATTCCGTACCATTCCAAAAGGCTTCACTCGGAAAGAGGTACTACTTCCAATTGCGTCGGGAATGTTGTAAGATGTATGGTAGTCGCACATGTAGGGCATGGTGGAAGTTGTGGTGAATTGGTTACATTTTGCGGTTGTGGTACACTATCCATGTTGCAAGTTTATTTCAACAATAATGGTGCGGTTCTGCGGTTCAGTACGTTTGCGGTGGTCTTCTTTTTCGCGGGTTTTCCTTTTCTTCGAGGTATGGGCGGTTTCTTCAGTGAGGTTGGTGGTAGAATGGAACTGGTCGGTAGACATGAGGCAAACG